TCAAGGATAAATGCTGAGCATGGAATGAAATAATCAGTGCCTACATATAGAATTTTTACATCTGGAGAAAAAATATCAAGCTATCACAACCAGATATTGTCTCTGCTCATTTTCACTTCATTTTATATAAAATTTCCAATTGTTCTCTTCATTTCCATTCAGTTGTATTGTTTATTTCATATTCAGTTTCTTCATGTTATCTATATGGCATTTTTCAGGAAATCTATCTGGAAATTGTACTGTGCACGCCTTCAGCAACTCAAAGATAAGTGGGCCTCTTCTTTGAGTTTCCTTTCAAACAATTCTGTATCGAATATGATATTTATTGGAAATATTCATTCTTGACAATTAGATTAAGAGAGTCTAATTCGTCCTGAATCTGCAGAATCTACTATTGATTTACTTTTCTGGTAATCACCAATGAAATATACACAATTCTATGACATCATCAATATAATCGAATAGTACCACTAATGGGTAAGAAAGTTGAATTCAATAGCAAAACATGCATTTCCTAGATATACAAACACACAACACAGAGCATTCCTCATAATAAAAAGTCATCATGCATTTTCTTCATATTCCAATTCAAAGTGTATATATTCAATCGCTGTAACATTTTTTTTTTAATACTATTTTAGCCTCGATTTTATCATTTGTATCAGACATGAATCGCCGAAAGTGTGTTTCATAGCAATCTCGTATATGCTGCTTTAATGGCAGAGGGTTCCTTCCTGGACATGAAAAGTTATTCATCATCCTGTCAAACATATAGACGTGAGGCGGAGCGTTTTACACTACCATAACCAATAATAACCCCAAATAGAAGTGGCCATCTTTGTGAATTTTAGATGACTACTAACATGACTAGTGAACTTTATGATATTCAATCAAAAAGAGCATCGATTATCCTTTTATTTTGATCAAAGAACTTGTACATCTGATGGGCTGTTTACTAGCAATCTACCTACTTTCTGAAATTCTCATAAGTATTTTAAAACGATTCTCAGAATGAACTTTAATGGGTTGGGACTATAAAAAAATCGATGAGTAATTTACAATAATATTTATTTATACATATATTATCCATATGTACGGTATATATAAGTTGAAATCCACAAGACAGAAATTCAGTAATAAAAGTATTTAGACTCAAAATATAATTTATAAAAGGAGGTTAAAATAATAATAATTTATATTACACTAACTTTCATTTACAAAATCATAAAAACCAATTTTCTGAATAGATGATGTTTGTCAAACTTAGTACCTCTAACTCTAAAATATTACACCACAGCACAAATAACTAATTTTCTATTTTATCCATATAGGTACAAATATACAGCATGCCACTGCAAAACCCCTAAAATTTAGTGTATAAATATTTGTGTGTATAAATGGTTAACCAATTTAAATAGGAAATTGTATTTTTAAATTTAATTTCCATATTGGAAATCAGGTTTCAATTTAATACTCGTTTTGATGAGAACCTATTTAATTTGTCTAACCTTCACTACATTTTTATAATAAAATAATTACGTATACTTCTTTTGTAGCATGGTTAAGTATTTTTACGTATTCGTTATAGGTTATCACTAGCAATTCTGACTGGGTTTTCAGCATCATGAATCGCAAAAAATTATCCAATTTTTTTATATAAAATAGTTCTCTCCAAAAATTAACCAATGGGATTGTAATGTTTGATTTCGAATGTTTCACATTTCTTAAAACCTATCAATTGTGTAAATTCACATAGTTACGTATTTCGAGTATTGAATAACATATCATCCTACATGGATAACTCTTTACTCTAACTTTGGCATGAAAGTGCGTAAATTTAATAATATCGTATATTTCATATCCTCTCTCTTCCGGTTTTATTTACAGCGATCTCATATAAATTAACTCTTTGTAACCGAATATACATGATAAAATATAAATATCTACAGGTCAAGGAAACAAATCTACCATTTTAAATATCAAAGATAATCTTACTTGTCTTACAAAAATATTTACATTCATTCAAGTAAGTAAATATATATCTCAATAACATAAATCAATTGTCAAAACGACATCGTACAAGAATCCTATAAGATAGGAATATAAAAAGTGTAGGTTCAACACTGATTTTTATATCAGAAATTTTTTCTTGTTTCAGTAGGAACATGTTGATGACGAATATATTTTTCGTTGAATCCATACGTTTATAATTATCGTGCTTTTTATTTTGAAGGAAAAAGTTCTCAAAGATGTGTCTTACAAGATTTTGATACTGTGGTATGTAGTATTTCTTCTTATGATAATAATGAGGTTTTAATCAACCAATTGACTGTTTTTTCATATGTCGAGATATACAGGGTGTTATTTAAGTACGTGGCCAAACTTGAAGGGGTGATTCTTCGAGTGATTCTAAGATGAAAAGTTCATATAAACATAGGTCCGGTAATGCTTCGTTTTCAAGATACAGGGTGTCAAAATGTTTAAAAGAAATCGTTTTTTTCGTAAATATCCTAATAACCCTTCAACCGATTTTATTGAAATTTGGCAGTGTTATTCGAGGTTGTAAAGGGCTAATTTAACCCTGACTATATCAAAATTATCATGTCCAGTGGCGTCCCGGAAGGCACTGTAACCAATATTTTTGACAGGAAAAATGTTCGCCACTGATTTGTACGCAATTTTCGTATTTGTTTCACATTAAGCAACTAAAATTACAACTTTTTTATATCTAGAATTTTTTTCGTATTTTGCCAGGGACGTGCCATGAAGTGATTTTTATGTTTTTTCTCAAAAACAAAGCAAGATACGAAAAAAATTCTAGATATAAAAAAGTTGTAATTTCAGTTGCTCAATGTGAAACAAATACAAAAATTGCAGAAAAATCAGTGGCGCACATTTTTTCTGTCAAAAATATTAGTTACAGTGCTTTCCGGGACGCCACTGGACATGATAATTTTGATATAGTTAGGGTCAAAATAGCCCTTTACGACCTTGAATAACACTGCCAAATTTCAATAAAATCGGTTGAAGGGTTATTAAGATATTCACGAAAAAACGATTTCTTTTAAACATTTGACACCCTGTATCTTGAAAACGAAGCATTACCGGACCTATGTTTATATAAAACTTTTCGTCTCAGAATCACTCAAAGAATCACCCCTTCAAGTTTGGCCACGTACTTAAATAACACCCTGTAGTTATCAGTTTAATTTTATGAACCTCATGAGAATTCAATCAGTGGTATGTGGTTCAGTAAATCCTTCGATCAATTGCACCGTGATATTATGATATTATGATATTGATTTGATTTTTCACTCAAACGTATATGCATCAAGCAACTGCATTTTATTTTCGGTATGTGTGGAGTACACTATGCCCTTAATAAATATGTATCCAGGGCAATTGATCAAAATATAAATGATTCAAATGTCATTAGAGAAAAAACGACCAATTCATCGACTTTTTATATCTCTTGAAGCGCACGAAAGGAAATTTCCATAATGTTCAAAGAACATCTTAGGGAGAGGAGGTAGGTGTTGGATTTTTTCTGAACTTTTGGAGGTTATGAGTTCTTGGGAATACTTCCATTGGCAAAGAAATCCAAGGTGAAGATTTCTACTAGCTGCATACACGTAACTGATCAAAAAAATGGAGAGATTTTATATTTCGTGTAAAATTAATTATAAAATCGCATAGCGCTTTCGGCTAAACAGCCAATACAGCCATCATCAGTGCTATTAAAACCAAACAATTTTAACATGTATTTTTGAAAAATTTCACAATAACCCATAGGGGAACTTTTTTGTTGAATGTTTGTCTGTTCCTAATTCCGTTTGTATCATAATGATGTCGGCGATTACTAATTTTTGGAACTTTTTATGAATACTTGACGAGTAAGTAATATACACTTTCCGATTTGTCTCTTTGAAATTTCATAAATGTTACTTGCTTACAGGTATTGCACTGATGATGACTTTTTAGCAGAAAGTGCTTTGCGATTTTATAATTAATTTTACTCGAAATACAAAATCTCTTCATTTTATTGAAGAAATTCAAAGCTTTGCCTTTCTATACCTATACTGACAATAATTATTGATGATCTACTCTGAACTTGGACAAATTAGAATGTGAGTGCCATTGTAAACTCAAGGGTTATAAGATCAAATTCTGATCATAAAAGCATTGATCATATTTTCAGACTTCATGTCTTATATATCAAAATAAATAATATTTCTCAAAGCAAGTTGGATAATGGCTGCTGAATTTGAACTGTTCAAGAAATTGAGAAAACGAGGCGTCAGAAAAACTAGGGATCTTGTTTCTATTTTTCTTTGTTTTCATTACAGATGCAAAAAAAAATATGGTGTCGCAATTGGCGGTGATAGCATTTGTAGTCACTTCTGCAATGAGAGCCATACATCCGCGACGAATTCTTTTCATTGGACATACACCACGACTTTTTTCAATTTTTGTGCCTTCACTTTTGGAAGGCGAAAAATATCATGAGATTGGATTATATAGGTGTCTGGCACTACTTTTATTCAAAAGTTTATTGATTTATTCATTCTAACTTTGCATCTTATACCTTGCATACGCCAAGTTGATTTTTTTTTAAACAATCAGTGATTTTATTCAAATAGCTACTACATCCAGAGAAACCCTGATACAAAATCCCGAAACATATAATAATTTTTGCATTAAGAAAATAACATCTTTGGACCATGAAAATTATGAAAATCGGTATAGCCAAATTTTGTATTCAAAAGTAATCATATTTTTTTGTTTCAGATTGTCTAACCCATTTATTTACTAATTTCGGGCTCCGTTTTCGTAAAAATGCCTGACACATTCTTCAGTTTCTTTTTTTATATTCCCAAACTGTAGACTCACCCTGTATGAAACAACAGTGATGTGAATGAATCTTCATCGTATAAGCGACTTTTCAAAGTTCATCAACTCAACTTTTGCTGAACCTTCAATAAAATAAAATACATTGTTTCGTGGAATAAATTTATTGGGAAATCACCAAAATGATCTCATCATAGTACGGATTTTCAAGTTTTTCTTTTGTAAAACAAGTAAGAGTTTCTATAATTCAATATCTGAAACAAGCTAACTTGAACGATAAAAGTGTTCCTAAATTTGTTTCATAGTTCAAGTTAGCTTGCAAGCGACATCAACATTTCGCACAAGAAAATGACGTCACTGACCTTTCAATATCATCCATAATGGAAAGATGTTCTTGTAGATATTCTGAACCACAATTCTTTCATGACCAGGAATTAGGAATATCAAGATATTTATACAAAAAATTCAAACCCGGGTATGTACTTTTCACTAACATTTTGGCAGTCCATCTGCTTTCACTAAATTGCACGTAGCACTGGCCTCATGAATAAAGTTTAAAACGAGAGTCCAAAATGGAGATTCGCACAGAAAATAATAAAAAGACTATGTTATCTACAAATATAAATAAATTAACTATAAAATCCATCTATAATCGCGTATAGAACTAATATATCGACTTTAAATATACACAAAAAGACTTTCTTAAGAGGTCAATACGGTTGTGGGGAATTTTGAAGAGTTCCTGCCAAAAAGGGGCCCATGCCAAAGGCAAAGGCAAATGCAATGACTAAAATGTGTATTAAGGTACATAGTTTAATACGTCTTGGTTCACTGTGGTGATCCTTGAGGACTAATGTCATCGCCACCACCTTCTGAACCGCCTTCTCCTTTGGTCTTGTTTTCTTTTTTCCACTTCATGCGCCTGTTTTGGAACCATATTTTGATTTGCCTTTCGGTCAAACACAAGGCATGTGCGATCTCTATTCTCCTTCGCCTCGTCAAGTACCTGTTGAAATGGAACTCTTTTTCTAATTCCAGCGTTTGGTATCGGGTGTAGGTTTGTCGACCCCTTTTCCTTTCTGAAATAAAGAAATGCAATGCATTAAAAAATATAATTTTCGAGTCAGATGTTATTTTTGGGATATTGTTTTAGGTATACCTCGAAATTGGCTGATCAAAACCAACCTGAATTGGGAGGTTACAAATAATTGAAAATACGAATGAACTAGTTCAGAATATTTCAATAGTTAATCGCTGGTGAATAAAATGCACTTTCCTACATGAAACTCCTATGATGGTATCACTTAGACTTAGGTATCGAAATAACTTTCGAATGTATTCCACCCTATATCAATGCAATACATTGAAATAGATGTTTATCCAAACAGATCGTATTTTGGACATACTGTTTTAGATCTACTATGTACGAGATTGGTTGATCGAAACCATCTTGAACATCCACCATCAATATTGCAGAAATCTGCATTGGACTTATCGACTGTATTGTAAGGTTTCAAACAATTGGAAATGCATATGGTGATTGTTTAATGTGTATCATATCAATAAAGAATGTTGCGACGATAATCAATAGTTAATCGATGAAGAATAAGATGTAGGCAGAGAAAGTGCTGCCTAGGCAGAAAAAGTTAGCTGCTATTTAACGCTTCAGGTAATAATTTGAATCAAATTGGTAATCAAAATTGACAATGACTTTGGGTGAACACAAAATGATGGATTATTTGGACTTTGCGTGAAATTGGAACGAATTCGGAGAAAAATGATATGTTTAACATGGCAGAAAAGCAGATTGCATGCCAAGGCTATAGATAGCCTCGGTTACCATCAAATATTGTGCTTTTCTGTCGTTGTTGTTGTTGTTGTTTCTAAAATTGAAACGATATTTATCTAAAATGGATGATAAAAGACGAAAACAACTGCCCTCGAAGATATGGAATTTTAAAGTTTGATTCCCAATTTTGAATATGATTGTTCAGAGATTATCAGCCTAACCTGATGGGCGTTCGCATTCGCCTAGTAGCACTGAAAGCATGATCATAAATCTAATGTTCTCACCAAATGATAATTTTCTGACCAAATCTAAAATTAATTTCGAGATATTGAACCATAACTAAATTATACTGAACTAGATAGTAAGAAATATATTGGTTTTTTCTCTGATTCGGTTAGTATGTCCATGTTAGCGTATACTGAGTGTTTCCGTAATCGGAGTGATTAACAAGATGAGTAGCTGTATAAAACATTATGACAGAAACAATTCCAAGAAAATTTCGTTCAAACTATTCTTAATGTACACTGTCTCTTGAATATTATTGAACTTCCGGCAAAATTGCAAATCATCGATATTTCATTACGTTACTTGTAGGCTTCTATGGCCTCTGAAAAAGTATAGTTTACCTAACAAGTGCGGAAAATGATAATTTTCCACACGCAACTTGCCAGCAATTGCATGCGGAAAAGTCACTTCACGTAGGTACGTATATAACCTCGTATATAACTATTTTTTCTACTGGCGTGCGGGGAAAAACCCAAAAGTAAGTATAAAGAAACATTTATTATTATTATATCATTTGAAACGTTTCGCCTATGGCCATAGTTTTTTTCAATCTTCATTCGTTTCATGTACAATTTTACTGGTCTGGAAAAAAAAGTGGAGTGGATAGGGATAGTTTATCGTGCTGTGTGCATTATAATTTTTTTTCTGTGACGGGAAAAAAGTTTGGCATTTCATCTCTGTTGGCAGGTTATAAAATGTCACTTTTCATAAATTACTTTTTTCCCGTGGGAAAAAAGTGAGTACTTCTTTCCCGGATATATATCACATATATATACTCTGTTAATGTCTTTTGTTGTGCTATAGTTCCGAAAAATGAGTCAATAATACCGTCTCCGAGAAAGAACTGCAAGTCCTTTTATCTTCCATTCGACTTCGCGGTTTCGTATATCACTAAACAACTACTGAATTCGCAATTTTTTAAAATCAAATCACAGAATTGAACTGACAGAAGTGACATCAGATATTTGATTACTTCAAAAGAATGATAAAGATGCCTATAAAACGCAGGTGTCCCTACTGTTAAAAACTTGAAATTTCACGTCGATAATTTTCAGATTTCGAAATAATGTAATATCTTCTCAATATTGATTCGTCCTTCCTTCTGTCACAGAAAAAAATAGTGTATTATACACGGGAAAAATATTAGATTTTAGCTCACGGTTTTTTGTCTCCCTCCGCTACGCGTCGGGAGACAACACAACCTGGAGCTAAAATCTACTACTTTTTTCCCTTGTATAATAAATAACTATTTTGGAGGCTTATTAGTAGGCTGAAATTGTTAGCTACGTACCTCAACCAGAGCTAATTCTTTGGTATTTAGCATTTTTTCTTCAAATTTTTCCTTTTTATTCATAATTGTTTCTTCTGTTATATATAAAAATGAAATAAGGAAAAGCACGATACTCTATTCACTCCATTTTTTTCCAGACCAGTGAAATTGTACATGTAACAAATAAAGATTGAAGAAGCCTATGGCCATAGACGAAACGTTTCAAATGATATAAAAACATAATTATTTTAATGATCCAAAACCCAAGAACCGCCCCTATTGAAATATCAGTACACTTCCCAGGAACTTAAGAAATTTACTTTTCCCGCACTAAAACGAAAAGGGCGATATTTCAACACTTGAATGAGTGCGAAATAGTAGACTTTTCCTCACGCTAGAAGAAAGAAGGTTTTTCAAAATATTTCAATACCCTCAGATTATCTCAAGTTGAAGCAATATGGTACCTACCAACCACGGTATCATTGTTGTACTGAAAATTTGCGACAGAGGATGAGTATTATAAAAATCCGCCACAAATTGATTTGTATATATTCAAGACGTTTCAAACAGAGTACAAATCACTGGGTGTTACACCTGAAAGTTGCTCAACCTGAATAATATTCCTTTAGATTATCTGAAGTAATTTCTGAAATATTATTTCACAAGGGTGTTTCGTAATTGAATGTCAATATTTGGGGAGACGATTCTTGGGTCCATTCTAAGAAGAAAGTTTTATATGAACGTATGACCTAAACAACATTTTTTTCGATCTGATGCACAGTTTTCTTTAAAAAAAATGAAAAGCTTTTCACTACATGATTATAGCAATATCGTTAATATGACAATATCACAATGGAGAGAAATAGATTTTATTTATTAGATCAAATTTCAGAAATACAATTCATAGTTTATGAACTTCGTATTCGTATTTGGTGTTTTGGAATTATAACTTCTCATTGTAGTAGGCTATATTAATTTTCGAGAACTTTACCACCCTGTATCTCAAAAACTTTCTTCTTATAATGAACCCAAGAATCGCCTCCTCGAATATTGACATTCAATCATGAAACACCCTATATACACCGTGTAACTATTCTTCACGAAAAGTTTCAAGAACTACCTACCGACTTGATTTCTGGTTCGTCTTCCTCACCTTTTGTGGCCAATCATCTCAAAAAAATTCTGTAAATGAAAAGAGTCGTCCCGCACTAACCAATTTGGTACTCATCAAAATAAATATACACTCTTTTACGAGAATTCCTGTCAGGTTTGTTATGTAATTGTACCATAACCGAGACCCATAGAAAACCATCCAATTCCAGGTAAATAATCAATGTTATTCAAGAGAAAAGTTTCGTTGTCAAATTTTCATATCCCTAGTTTTGAATCTGAAGGCTTTCATTATAAAAATTATTACCTGAAGCACACAGGCGACTGCTCGGGAGAAAGCAATAAAAATTACCAGGAAAATAATTATATACATCAGTTTGAAGGGAGGCAAAGCCGGCCTTGTGACGCCAATCAAAGTGGCCTTTAGGCGGTCTCAGCCTGTATCTGAGATAATGAGTTTATAAATGATGCATAAATCATTTTCGTCTTTTCTGGACTTGACGGTCTTGCGAAATTTCCAAATAGGTATACTCCACATAATAATTACGATTAGTTCGGGTATAATAAGATTCTTGTCAGATGTTACAATGTAGAAAATGATTATGATGAATTGTTATACCTGAAATAAACATGATTCAAGTCGATCTCCAATGGTTTAGATTATATTCAATATTCAATGAGTTATATATTGGGTCACTGTGACACATTGTGAATATGCAATTCTTGGTAACCTTCTTCAAATCCAAATCTCAACATTTTTAATGAAACTAATATCCACTTATACTTTAATATACAATTCCATTGATAATATACATACAGTGTGGAGACTTTAACTGGAATAAATTCGTTAGCGGTAAGGTGAATATTTGTTTCTAAAAACTCCTGGCATACGTCAACGATTTAATGTATTTACCTACCTTTTGCAAGCAGTATCAAGAATATATCCCTCCAGGGATATCTGAAACCACCCTCGACATGATTTTTTCAAACGTAACCCTATGGCTTGTGACCCCTCATTGGAAAGCTGGTAGAAAGAGGAATCTAGCGTACTATTCAAATTTCAGTTTTTCATACGTTTAAATGTTGCATAACATTGAAATGTTATCTTAAAATTCATTCTTTTTGAACGTATCATTCGCTCAAAATGTGTGTTGAACAATTGATGGCAATTCTTTCCACAACTGCTATATCTGCTATTGTATTTCAGTGTTTTTATAGAGCCGCAAAAAGAAATTTTGTGTTTTTGCCGTACCTATTCACAGTTCGAAACAAAGTGTTATGGCAAACTGGTGGAGATGCCCTATATCAATGTCACGAAAAGTCAAAATTTTTATGAAAATACGTTGAAAATATATCAAACTTTGAAATGATATTTTGATTCAATGCGACCACCAAATGTACCGCAAACTGAAATATGATCAGTACACTGGATTCTTCTTTCAACCAGCTTTCCAATGAGGGGTCGCAAGCTATATAGGGTTGCATTTGAAAAAAATCATGTTGGGGTTGATTCCAGTTACCCCTGAAGGGTTATGTTCTCCATATTGCTCGCCAAATCTAGGTAAATACATTCAAACGTTGACATGTCTTGCAAATTTTCAGAAAAATCATTCACTTCCCCAGTA